TCCCTCCCCCCTCTTGCCCTCTGTTGCTTCTACTGCTGCGGCCGACCTCGTTGGTTTCGAGTCGGTCGGCGCTGCATCTGCCCCTTCGGGGAAGCGCCGCTCAGGCAAGGGCAAGGGGGGCAAGGGCGCTGGAGGAGCTGGTGGGGGCGGTGGAGGTGGCGGTGGAGCCGGCGGAGGGGGTGGGGGTGGTGGTGGGAGTGGTGGCGGGGGTGGAGGTGTCGGTGGCGGCAGTGGAGGCGGAGGCGGAGGCGGCGGTGGCGGTGGGAGCGGAGGTGGCGGAGGTGGCGCTAGTCGGGGTGGCGCTGCGCAGAGGGTCGACTCCGGTTGTGGTCAGCGCCAGCAATAGCAGCAGCAGCGCACTCGTGACATTCCCCCCCCTCAGCAGCTCCGTGAGTGGTACGCTGCTCGCCAGCGGGGTGGGGGTACTGGTCCGTGCACCTACGTCCTGCGCACCGGCGACCGCGCGGGTGAGCAGTGCGGGGGTGCGCACCCCACCCAGCGCTGCTTTGGCCACCTGACGGACGCGTGGCGTCACCGCCTGCCCCTGCCTGCGTCCCCTGCGTCGAGGGGCGGCAGCGTGCTACCCCTCACTCCTCCCAGTTTCCTCTGACAGAGGCCCCGCTGCAGACGCTTCACATGGACGTGTGGGGCCCAGCCCGCGTCCGTGGACAGGGTCACGAGCGCTACTTCCTGCTGGTGGTTGACGACTACTCGCGTTACACCACAGTCTTCCCCTTGCGCAGCAAGGGTGATGTCACTGAGGTGTTGATCGACTGGATCCGCGCAGCTCGTCTCCAGCTCAGGCGGAGCTTCGGCTCGGACTTTTCCGTTCTGCGTCTGCACTCTAACAGAGTCGGAGAGTTCTCCTCTGGCCTCCTGCGAGCCTACTTTCGTGCACGAGGCATCCGCCAGACCTTCACGCTTCCGGACTCTCCACAGCAAAATGGGATTGCTGAGCGCCGCATTGGCATGGTCATGGACGTCGCTCGTACGTCCATGATGCATGCGGATGCCCCCCATTTTCTGTGGTCGTTTGCGGTTCGGTACGCGGCGCATCAGATCAACCTTCAGCCCAGGGTCTCCATGCCGGAGACCTCCCCAGCCTTGCTGTGGACGGGGAAGGTTGGAGATGCGTCTGCGTTCCGTGTCTGGGGATCTCGGGCGTTTGTCCGCGACTTGTCTGCGGACAAGCTGTCCCCTCGTGCTGCTCCTTGCGTCTTCGTGGGTTGCCCCCCTAACGCGTCAGGGTGGCAGTTCTACCACCCCACCTCTCGCCGTGTTTTGTCCTCCCAGGACGTCACGTTTGACGAGTCGGTCCCCTACTACCGCCTCTTCCCCTACCGCACTCTGTCCCTTCCCCCGCCACCGCTCTTCCTTGTGCCAGGTCCCCCCTCGGTAGACCCCCTCACCCCTCAGGGTCCTGCCCCTTCAGGTGTGTCCCATGTAGACGCAGTCGAGCCTGTCGAGGTGGCTGATGACTCTGGTGCTGCTGAGGGTGCTGAGCCTGGGGGTGCTGACTCTGGGGGTGCTGAGGCTGAGGGTACTGCTACTTGGGGTGTTGAGCCTGGGCGTGCTGAGCCTGGGGGTGCTGCGACTAGGGGTGCTGAGCTTGGGGGTGCTACACCTGGGGGTGCTGAGCCTGGGGGTGCTACACCTAGGGGTGCTGAGCCTGGGGGTGCTACGACTAGGGGTGCTAAGCCTGGGGGTGCGGAGCCTGCGGGAGCTAGGCCTGCTCGTGTCGCGTCCGGCGGTACTATGCCTGGAGGTTCGTCTCGCCGGGAGCCACTCTCTCCACAGGAGCTGCGCGAGTGGTTTTCCGAGCGCTGGAGGCGTGCTGCTGGAGCTGGAGGTTCTTCGGCTACTGAGGGTGCTGGTGTCGCGGGTTCCGGAGGTGCTCGTACTTGCGCCTTGTGATCATCACCGCTTTTGTACTCAGCTGGGTCTTGTGCCTGCCTTGCCTCACTTGCTCACCTCTTGACCTTGCTTGTACTGTTACATATATATATGCACCTGCTCTTGCTTGTCTAGCCTTTTATATATATGTACTCCTGCATGTGAACTGGTCTTGTGGCCTTGAACTTGTGCTCGGAATGTGTGGTGACTTTGAGATCCACCCTGAGCTTGCTTTGCTTGATTGGTCTTGTGACCCCTTGTTCTCCCCCACTTTGCCTATGGGGGTGTGTCAGAACATTATAGCTTATACGTTTTGTGTAGGCTGTAGTGGGGTATCCCGTAAGGGGTACAACCCAATTAGGGTTAGTACTTGTACCCACCTGTTTCATAGTTAATTCATCCTTGTTTCTTCTCACCACGCGCCCCGCCCTTGCGGCCCCTCGCACCGCCCATCGGCCCCGCGCGCCGCCCGTCGGCCCCTCGCGCCGCCTTGCGGCCCCTCGCGCTGCCTTTCCGGCCCCTTACGGCTCCTCGCGCGGCGCCCTTTACGGCCCCTCGCGCCGCTCTCGCGCCCCCCCCCCCCCTACGGCCCCTTCGCGGCCCGTCGTCGCCGCCTCCAGTAGCGGCCGCCGCCGTCCCTGCTGCAGCGGCCGCCGCCGCCGTCCCTACAGCAGCGGCAGCCGCCGTATCTGCACCGGCTGCCGCCGCTACCGTCCCTACAGACGCGGCCGCCGCCGTCCCTGAAGCAGCGGCCGCCGACGCCGCCTCCTGCAGCGGCGACCACCGCTGTCCCTGCAGCAGCAGCCGCCACTGTACCTGCAGCAGCCGCGCCGCCCAAGCCGCCGAGCCGCCCGAGCTGCCGAGCCGCCCGAGCTGCCGAGCCGCCGTTCCCGCCGAGCCGCCCAAGCCGCCGAGCCACCCGAGCCGCCGATTCGCCGAGCCGCCGAGCCGTCCGAGCTGCCCTGTCCACTACACACGGCCACTGCCGTCGCGGCCCTATTCCTACCAGCGAGCCTCGGTCCTTCTCGCCTGCCCGGTAAGAGCAGCACCTCTACCACTGCGCTGCCCTTAGACTGCTGCTCGCGCTTCTAGTCTACTGCTGTCATGGCTACCCCTAGTGTCCTCGCTTTTGACGCTGAGGGTCGGGCCATTGACTTTGACGTCTGGGTAGATGACCACCCTGACCGTTGACCTCCTCGAGGAGCGCCTCCTAGCGGCAGAGAAGAGCATAGTCGCTGTACGAGCCTCTCGTGATGACCCTCGTGCCCCTATCTTTGAGGGGCGCTCCCCCTCTCCCCTCTTGCCCTCTGTTGCCTCTGCTGCTGCGGCCGACCTTGTTGGTCTTGAGTCGGTCGGTGCGGCGTCTGCCCCTAGCAGGAGACGCCGCACTGGCAAGGGCAAGGGGGGCAAGGGCGCTGGAGGAGCTAGCGGGGGTGGTGGAGGCGGCGGTGGAGGCGGTGGAGGGGGTGGGGGTGGCGGTGGAGGTGGTGGCAGGGGTGGGGGCGTCAGTGGCGGTAGTGGAGGCGGAGGCGGCGGCGGCGGTGGCGGTGGGAGCGGAGGTGGCGGTGGTGGAGGAGGTAGTGGCGGAGGAGGTGGAGCTGGTCGGGGTGGCACTGCGCACAGGGTCGGCTCCGGTGGTGGTCAGCGCCAGCAGCAGCAGCAGCAGCGCACTCGTGAGATCCCTCCCCCTCAACAGCTTCGTGAGTGGTACGCTGCACGTCAGCGGGGTGGGGGTGCTGGTCCGTGTACCTACGTCCTGCGCACCGGCGACCGCGCGGGTGAGCCGTGAGGGGGTTCGCACTCCACCCAGCGCTACTTTGGCCGCCTGACGGACGCTTGGCGTCACCAGTTCCATGAGGCCACTGAGATCCCTCGCTGGGGCGATCTGGCTAAGGTGGGGGTTCCTATCTTTGATCTTGATTATGATGCTATTCTTGCTGCCATGTATGCTGTGACTATTAGTGATGAGGGTGAATGTTACCGGTGTTTTCCGCCCGACCCGGGCATTGGGACTGCTGCTCTAGGTACTGGTGAGGCTGCTGCTCTAGGTGCTAGCGAGGCTGCTGCTCTTGGTGCCAGTACGTCTGCTTCCTCAGGTGTTGGTGAGTCTGCTCTCTCAGGTACCGCGTCGGCTCCGGCCTCCCACACCTTCACCCTTGACTCGGGGGCTTCTCGCTCCTTCTTTCGAGACCGCACCACACTCACGCCGCTTGGTCGGCCTGTTGCTGTCTCTCTGGCAGACCCCTCTGGGGGTCCTGTCCTTGCTCACTTCTCCATTGTCTTCCCGTGTCCGGCGGCTCCCTCTAGCACCCTGTCTGGTCTTTACCTCCCCTCGTTCTCTACAAACTTGGTGAGTGGTGCTGACCTACAGGATGCGGGGGTTCACCAGTTCACTCCTGCGAGCCAGCGAGTGACCCACTGCACGGACGCTTGGACAGGCCGACACTTGGCCACGTTTACACGTCGGCCGGGGTCCAGCCTGTACACACTGACCACTGAGTCTCCTCCAGTCACTGCGTCTGGTCAGGCAGCTGCGTCGGGTCAGGTGTTTGCTGCAGCGTCCAGGTCTGGTCCTGAGTCTGCCCCCTTCTCATGTCGTCTCCTGTCTCACAAGACTCTCCTCTGGCACCACCGCCTTGGTCACCCCTCCCTGCCTCGTCTCCGAGGCATGGCCTCCCGTGTCCTTGTCTCTGGTCTCCCCCGATCCCTCCCTCCCCTTCCTCCGGGGCCTGCCCCTACCTGCGTCCCCTGCGTCGAGGGGCGGCAGCGTGCTGCCCCTCACTCCTCCCAGTTTCCTCCGACAGAGGCCCCGCTGCAGACGCTTCACATGGACGTGTGGGGCCCAGCCCGCGTCCGTGGACAGGGTCACGAGCGCTACTTCCTGCTGGTGGTTGACGACTACTCGCGTTACACCACAGTCTTCCCCTTGCACAGCAAGGGTGATGTCACTGAGGTGTTGATCGACTGGATCCGTGCAGCTCGTCTCCAGCTCAGGAAGAGTTTCGGCTCGGACTTTCCTGTTCTGCATCTGCACTCGGACAGAGGCGGATAGTTCTCCTCTAGCCTTCTGCGAGCCTACTGTCGTGCACGAGGCATCCGCCAGACCTTCACGCTTCCGGACTCTCCACAGCAAAATGGGATTGCTGAGCACCGCATTGGCATGGTCATGGACGACGCCCGTACGTCCATGATGCATGCGGCTGCCCCCCATTTTCTGTGGCCGTTTGTGGTTCGGTACGCGGCGCATCAGATCAACCTTCAGCCCAAGGTCTCCATGCCGGAGACCTCCCAGCTTTGCTGTGGACGGAGAAGGTTGGCGATGCGTCTGCGTTCCGTGTCTGGGGATCTCGGGCGTTTGTCCGCAACTTGTCTGCGGACAAGCTGTCCCCTCGTGCTGCTCCCTGCGTCTTCCTTGGCTTCCCCCCTGACGCGCCAGGGTGGCAGTTCTACCACCCCACCTCTCGACGTGTTCTGTCCTCCCAGGACGTCACATTTGACGAGTCAGTTCTCTACTACCGTCTCTTCCCCTACCGCACTCTGTCCCTCCCCCCACCACCGCTCTTCCTTGTGCCAGGTCCCCCTTGGCCAGGTGTCGGCCCGTCCGAGCACACGTGCAGTGGGTCACTCGCTGGCTCGCTGGAGTGAACTGGTGAACCCTCGCATCCTGTAGGTCAGCACCACTCACCAAGTTCGTAGAGAACGAGGGGAGGTAAAGACCAGACACGGTGCCAGAGGGGGCCGCCGGACACGTTAGGACAGTGGAGAAGTGGGCAAGGATAGGACCCCCAGAGGGGTCTGCCAGAGAGACTGCAACTGGCCAACTAAGCGGCGTGAGCGTGGTGCGGTCTCGAAAGAAGGAGCGGGAAGCCCCCGAGTCGAGGGTGAAGGTGTGGGAGGCCGGAGCCGACGCAGTACCTGAGAGAGCAGACTCACCAGCACCTGAGGAAGCAGACTCACTGGCACCTAGAGCAGCAGCCTCACCAGCACCTAGAGCAGCAGCCTCACCAGCACCTGGAGCAGCAGTCCCAATGCCCGGATCGGGCGGAAAACACCGGTAACAGTCACCCTCATCACTAATAGTCACAGCATACATGGCAGTTAGAATAGCATCATAATCAAGATCAAAGATAGGAACCCCCACCCTTGACAGCTCGCCCCAGCGAGGGATCTTAGTGGCCTCCAGGAACTGGTCGCGCCAAGCGTCCGTCAGGCGGCCAAAGCAGCGCTGGGTGGAGTGCGCACCCCCGCACGGCTCACCCGTGCGGTCGTCGGTGCGCAGGACGTAGGTGCACGGACCAGTACCCCCACCCCGCTGACGTGCAGCGTACCACTCACGAAGCTGCTAAGGGGGAGGGATCTCACGAGTGCGCTGCTGCTGCTGGCGCTGACCACCACCGGAGCCGACCCTCTACATAGCGCCACCCCGACCAGCTCCACCTCCTCTGCCGCTGCCTCCACCACCGCCGCCACCTCCGCCACCTCCACTCCCACCGCCACCGCCACCGCCGCCTCCGCCTCCACTGCCACCATTGACGCCCCCACCCCCGCCACCACCCCCACCGCCACCCCCACCCCCTCCACTGCCTCCACCGCCGCCTCCACCGCCCCCGCTAGCTCCTCCAGCGCCCTTGCCCCCTTTGCCCTTGCCAGTGCGGCATCTCCCGCTAGGGGCAGACGCCGCACCGACCGACTCAATTCCAACGAGGTCGGCTGCAGCAGCAGAGGCAACAGAGGGCAAGAGGGGAGAGGGGGAGCACCCCTCAAAGACAGGGGCACGAGGGTCACCACGAGAGGCTCCTACAGCAACTATGCTCTTCTCCGCTGCTAGGAGGCGCTCCTCGAGGAGGTCAACGGTGAGGGTGGTGGGGCAAACAGAGAGAAAGTGGTCCCTGACAGGGCGAAGAGTGTCAGGGAGGCGGGTGACTATGTAGTAGAGGGTGATGTACATAGGGGGGGGGGGGGTTCTTGGAGCAGAACTCAACAGGAAGGGCAGCGCGGTAACGAATGTCTCTAGTGCGAAGGTGCGTAATGAGGCCAGCGACTGTGGGAAAAGCGACGAGGTCAGGGAAGAGGTACGGCAGGATGAGGCGCCTAAGTGCAGCAGTGGCAGGGGAAGAGTAGCGTGCAACTACAGCGTCGTACAAGGTCTTAGCACTCTTGTACTGACTAAAGTGTGCACGCTCAGCGGTAGGCAAGTGGCGGCACAGAGCAAGACGGGCAGCACCATCGCGTGTGGCCCACTGTGAGCGAACAGTGGCGTCAGCATCAGCAGCAGGGGCAGGAGAGGCACCAGAAGTGAGGTCAAAGAGGGAGAGACCGTCTGCCTATCGCACTGTAGGAAAAGCTGCAGGTCATCTACCCAGACGTCAAAGTCAATGGCCCGACCCTCAGCGTCAAAAGCGAGGACACTAGGGGTAGCCATGACAGCAGTAGACTAGGGGCAGTGCAGTGGTAGAGGGGCTGCTCTTACCGCGCAGGCGAGAACGACCGAGGCCCGCCGGTAGGAACAGGGCCGCGACTGCAGTGGCCTGGTGTAGCGGACAGGGCGGCTCGGGCGGCTCGGCGGCTCGGCAGCAACGGCAGCTCGGCAGCTCGGGCGGCTCGGCGGCTCGGGCAGCTCGGGCGGTTCGGGCGGCTCGGCGACTCGGCGGCTCGGCGGCTCAGCGGCAACGGCGGCTCGGGCGGCTCGGCTGCTGTAGGTACGACGGCGGCTGCTGGTGCAGGGACGACGGCGGCGGCCGCTGCTGCAGGGAGGCGGCGGCCGCTGCTGCTGGGACGACGGCGGCCGCTGCTGAAGGGACGGCGGCGGCCGCTGCTGCAGGGACGGCGGCGGCCGCTGCTGCAGGGAGGGTGGGGCCGCGGGGTCGCGAGGGTAGGGCGACGGGGCCAGCAGGAGCGGCACCAGGGCCGGTAAGGGCGGCGCCGGGGCCGCAAGGGTGGCGCGAAGGGGCCGCGAGAGCGGCTCGAAGAGGCCGCGAGGGCGGCGAGAAGGGGCCGCGAGGGCGGCGCGAAGGGGCCGCAAGGGTGGCGCGACGGGGCCGCGAGGGCTGCGGGACGGCGCCGCGAGGGCGGCGCGGCGCGACGGGGCCGCGAGGGCGGCGCGACGCGACGGGGCCGTAGAGGCAGCGCGACGGGGCCGCTAGGGCGGCGCGACGGGGCCGCTAGGGCGGCGCGACGCGACGGGGCCGCGAAGGCAGCGCGACGGGGCCGTAAGGGCGGCGCAACGGGGCCAGAAGGGCGGCACGACGGGGAGCGCGACTCGGGCAGAGGGTGAGGGCGCTACGGGCAGGAAAAAAAAAGGGGGGGGGATGGTGGGCCCTTGGAACAGTTCCCACGAGGGAACCTGCTCGATACCATGTTGAAGTGAACAAGAATGAATGACTAAGGAATGAGTGTGATACAAATATGAAACCCTAGGATTGTGTACCCCTTAGTGTCTAACCCGGTACAGCCTACACAGGCTAGATCATATAAGTCTGACACGTAGTGTTCTTCCCTGTAGCGTCAGGATGAATGTCGAGGCCTGCCCTTACGCGTTTTTTGCGGGGGGAGGGGGGGAGAGGGGGGGGGGGGGGGGGGGGGGGGGGGGTGTTGTTCCCGTTCCTGGGGAACGCGCGTGCGTGTATGTTTCCCGCCTTCGCATGATTCCTTTGACAGTTCTGTTCCGATCCCCCACAACACACCAGCCCAACCCATCAGACTGGGAACTGGGTCCACCTTACTAACAGGTTCACCTGCAGCTGGTTCATCGCGTAGTCACATCCGCCCGTGCTAAATTCTCAACCCAGAACACTGGTTTTGTTGCCTTGACAGGTCATGATTGATTTCTGCAGAAGCCCTGAACATACAGGATGGTTTTGAAAATTTGCCCAGATGAATCGGGGCATTTTTTAAGATTCTAGAAAGGTTCCCTGAGGCCTCAGGATGCCCCAAATCCTAGCACGGGCCCTGGTAGGAAAAAACAACATTAGCTAGAATCCAACATTAGGCCAGCGACACTAGTTGAAGCACAACCACCTTCTATCGCTTGTGTTTTCTTCAAAACGATGCTTGTGCAGTTTTACACAACGTTGCCCATCCTTTCCTAGGTATACCATAATCCCCCGTACATAGGACCCCCCCCAGTTGTAGACTCCCGGGTCTATAATACGGACCCGGGTACTCTATTCGAGTACATCTGAGTTATACCCCCTAAATGGCTCCTAACATTATAAGACCCCCCCACATACTAGAGAAGTGCGGAACTGCAATTGAGTCAAAAAAATGCAATTGAAAATGCAATTGAAAATGGTAACGAATTTCGAATTTCAAATGAGTCAACACCCATTTTCAATGTGTTTGACTTTCGAAGGCTTCACTTGTTGCGCGTCCAGTCAGGATGAGCTGGAACGCGGGCAAAGTGACGTGCCAAATCTCTGTGCACACTCAGGGAAACGCCCTCGCGCGATTCTGATTCAGGACGCTGTAAAAGTTTGATTCGATTGAACTTACGAGACTGAAATGTACAACATCGTGCATTCTTATAAATGTCAATGTGAACAGACCCGGGTCTTCTAAAAAATATACCATTTAATTATACGCCCCAGCCTTTTTAGGGGTGATTATCATACCGTAAGCCCCCGGATAGAAGCGCAGGCCTCGGATAAGCGCCGGCGCTTATAAAAGGATGAGGGCGCTTAAATCCAGTCCTCGATTATAAGCACACCCCTGAAGGCTTACGGATTATAAGCGCCACCCTCTTCTTTTTTATTATAATTTTACAGAAATCGTTGTAACGAAACTCAACATTTTCATTCCCACATTTTGAATTTCGATGCCCCCTCACCCTCTCCCGGCTCACTGGCAACGCGTCCTATCAGAATGAGCTGTCAAGGGCGCACGTTGACTCATTCTGACTGTGTGTGTTGGCAGGGATGACAAAATTAGAAGAAAGAAGGAGGATTGAACTAGCAAGAATGAGGATACAAATAGCAAACCCTAGAAGGGTTGTACTCGCTATAGAGCACCCCAGTACAGGCTAGAACATAAGATAATATTCTTGCGGTACCCACCCCGTGCGGTACCCGCCCCAGGCCCCGATGCCACCTGCGGCCCCGCCCTCTTGCGGCCCCGACCCCGCCTCGGCCATGCCTTGTCGCCAGCCGCGGCACACCGGGGGCACGTGCACCGCCCCCCCCCCCTTTTCCCGTCACCTGTCGAGGCGACCTGAGGGGGCCGCGTGCGGAAGGGGCGACCTGGAAGGGGGGGGCAGGCGTCGCCCCCTCTGCCGCCTGCTTTGGCGCCCGGGGAGGCCGTGCGTCGGCCCCCCCCCTCCCTCTCCCCCCTCTTCTCCTCCTCCTTTTGTTCCCTCTGCTGCAGCTGCCGCTGGGGGGGAGGGTGTGAGAGTGTGGGGGAGCCCGGGGAGGGACTGGGGGTGGCGGGTGTGGGGGTGATGGGTAATGTCTGGTCCCCTGGCCCTACGGCCCCATTCTCCTCCGTTTGCCCCCCCCCCCCCCCTCTGCTGCTCCTGCAGCAGTGTGAGGGGGATGGGGAGGGGGAGGGGGAGGATGAGGGGATGTAGGTGGTGACCAACCAGAGCCTATCACCTCCTCTCCTCTCTCTCCCTCTCTCTCTCTCTCCCTCTCTCCTCCTCCTTGCCTGCCCTCTCCCGTACTACTACGCACTCTTGGTGTACCCCTTTATGGGGGCGTTGACTGCATATTCTTCCCTACAGGCACTTATGGGGGCGTGTCAGAATAATATATAAATCTATATATTGTTTTGTAACTGCCTGTAGTGTAGACTACTGTAGCTATACAATATTCTGTTTGGTGGTGCACCTTTCTTTTTGCCTATATGTATTGCTCGCTCTATAGTGAAACCCCTCCCTTCTCTTTTCAACTTTCTCGACTCTCCTAACTCAACTACTCGAACTCAACCAAGACTCCTAAGTTATGGCTCCTAAGCCTAACTCGTACTAGTACTTTTCATCATGCTATCAGAGCAGGTCGATCCCCTTGGATCGATCCTGTGGGTGGGTTACCACCTCGCTTCCGATGCTACTTTTTCCTCCCGCCGTGCGCCCCGAGGCGCGCGGCGGTTTTCTGCCCGCCGTGCGCCCCGAGGCGCGCGGCGGTTCTTTGCCCGCTGTGCGCCCCGAGGCGCGCGGCGGGCTTCTGCCCTACGTCGCGGCCCCGCCCTGCGTCGCGGCCCAGCCCCTCGAAGCGGCCCCGACCGTCGCGGCCCCGCCCCTCGACGCGGCCCCGTCCTACGTCGCGGCCCCGCCCTGCGTCGCGGCCCCGCCCCTCGAAGCGGCCCCGCCCTATGTCACGGCCCCGCCCCGACCGTCGCGGCCCCGCCCCTCGACGCGGCCCCGCCCTACGTCGCGGCCCCGCCCTGCGTCGCGGCCCCGCCCCTCGAAGCGGCCCCGCCCTACGTCGCGGCCCCGCCCCGACCGTCGCGGTCCCGCCCCTTGTCGCGGCTCCGCCCTCCAACCAGGCCCGTGGTGGGCCCCTTTCACCACACCGCCCCCCCCCCCCCCCCCCCCCCCCCCCCTTCCCCCTGCCATTTCCCGTCGTCCGTCGAGGCGACCTGAGGGGGCCGCAGCTGTGGGGTCGCGGGTATGGGGGTGGCCGGTGTGCCTTCCTCCCTTGCTCCTCCTCCTCCTTCGTCTCCCACTGCTGCAGCTGTCGCTGAGGGGGGTGGTTGTGTGGGAGACTGGGGTTTAGGGTTTAAGGGGGGGTGCGTGGGAGTAGAGCTAGCGGTGTAGCAGTGGGTGTGTATCAGGGGGGTGGGACTGTTTGCGGGAGGTTGAGCGGAGGCTGCTGGCTTGTCGTCCGCAGCACCTGTAGTCCGGGGCGCTGTCCCGGTAGCCCAGTCGTAGCCAGCTGTGCCAGCCGCCCGTGGGTCCGTTGCCCGTCCGCCGCTATTTGAGCCGCGGGGCCTGTTACTCCTGTAGTCCGGGCGCTGTCCGGTAGCCGCTGTGCCAGTCTGCCTCCTGTTGCCCGTGTGTCTGCAGCTTCAGCCGTCGCCTCCTGTCTCCTCTCCCCTCACTCTCCCTCCTCCTCCTCACTTGCCCGTTGTGACTACCACTAGCTTTGCTTATAATTGTGAACTCTAAACTATTTCTTCTTGAACTTGTGCTCAGAATGTGTGGTGACATTGTGATCCACCCTGAGCTTGTTTTGCTTCGCCTGCTCTGCTGATTACACCCCACTTTGGCTATGGGGGTGTGTCAGAATATTATTCTTATGTTCTAGCCTGTAGTGGGGTGCTCTATAGCGAGTACAACCCTTCTAGGGTTTGCTATTTGTATCCCCATTTCTGCTAGTTCATTCCTCTTTCTTTCTTCTAACTTTTGTCAACAGGCCCCGCGGCTAAAGTAGCGGCAGACGAGCAACGGACCCACGGGCGGCTGGCGTAGAAGTCTAGCTCACTGGGCTACCGGGACAGCGCCCCGGACTACAGGTGCTGCGGACAATAGTACGGCAACCTCCATGCAGCTTCCCCAAACAGTCCCACCCCCCTTACACGCACCCGCTGCTACACCGCTAGCTCTACTCCCACGCACCCCCCTTAAACCCTAAACCCCAGTCTCCCACACAACCACCCCCCTCAGCGACAGCTGCAGCAGTGGGAGACGAAGGAGGAGGAGGAGCAAAGGGAGGAAGGCACACCGGCCACCCCCATACCCGACACACCACCGCTCGCCCCTCAGGTCGCCTCGACAGGCGACGGGAAAAGGGGGGGGGGGGGAAGGCGGGGACGGGGCCGGGGCCGCGACAGGTAGGGCGACGGGCCGCATATAGTGCGGCGGTAGGGCCGCAGGTAGGGCGGCTGGTGGGCCGCAGGTAGGGCGGCGAGTGGCCGCAGGTAGGGCGGCTCGCGGGCCGCAGGTAGGGCGGCGGGTGGGCCGCGAAGGTAGGGCGACGGGTGGCCGCAGGTAGGGCGGCGGGTGGACCGCGAAGGTAGGGCGGCGGGTGGGCCGCGAAGGTAGGGCGGCGGGCGGCCGCGACGGGTCCCCGTCGCCCGTCGCGGCGCCTCCAGAAGGCGACGCGACGAACGACGGGGCAGACGCCCGCCGCGCGCCTCGGGGCGCACAGCGGGCAGAGAACCGCCGCGCGCCTCGGGGCGCACGGCGGGCAGAAAACCGCCGCGCGCCTCGGGGCGCACGGCAGGCAGAAAACCGCCGCGCGCCTCGGGGCGCACGGCGGGAAGGAAAAGTAGCAGCGGAAGCGATGTGGTAACCCACCCACAGGATCGATCCAAGGGGATCGACCTGCTCTGATAGCATGACAAAATTAGAAGAAAGAAAGAGGATTGAACTAGCAAGAATGAGGATACAAATAGCAAACCCTAGAAGGGTTGTACTCGCTATAGAGCACCCCAGTACAGGCTAGAACATAAGATAATATTCTGACAAGGGAATCAATCCTTGCCAACTTGCACGCGAGATTCTCAATCACAGCCTTGTACAGTATAGTTTCACATTCTGACTGTGTGTGTTGGCAGGGAATCAATCCCTGCCAACTTGCATGCGAGATTCTCAATCGAAACTTGTATAGTTTCGACGCGATTCAATCCGCAAGAACGGGATCTACAGTTTGGTGGAAAAACGACGAATTTCATATATGCTATTATATAAGCACCGGCGCTTATAAAAATCCTCAATTATAAGCGCACCCCCTAAAAAAACGTGTTTTTTTATAACCCCAGGGGCGCTTCTATCCGAGGGCTGACGGTAATACCATAGGGTCTTATATACGGGGGATTACGGTCAGGGCTAACTTTAGTAAAATGACCCGTCTGATGTCAAGACCAGGTCCTGGCTCCTTGTCAGACGAAAGCTGTAAAATTGTCTAGCTTTTCAGACGAATCCTAAATACTTGTCTGAGATTTCTTAGAAGATATATCTAGCAAGCAAAAAGCTATGATAAAACTAATCGGGAGTTTAGATACCAGCCCTGATGGTGCTGTCAGTAGAGTAGGGGAGTTGTGATTTTTGAGGTTAACGGTTCGAATTTTGTCTCGTTCTTCTTCCAGGCTACCGTATCAGACATTCTTTTGGGAGTTGTGCCTCCAGACGAAAAAGACTCGATATCTGCAGTGTCAGACGAACTGTATAAGGCAGTCTGAGAAATCAGATGAATAGAAAAGGCTTTTCTTAAAAATCAGACGAAATTAAACAGCATGTCTACGACATCAGATGAACCAGTAAAAATGTGTTCAGAATCCAGAAATTCAGACCAGAAATGTCTGATAAAGTAAGCCCTGATTACGGTATGCCCTATCCCACCATCTTAGACTTGTCTGATGGATACCATCGGAGCAGTATAAGGGTAACAATCATGCAGATCTCACTACGGTAAGGTGTTCATACCACCTTAAGAGACAATGCCTTGCAAGCTCCATCAAACACACGACACTGTCTAGTGAAGGTACCATTTGTTCACCCTGCACCTATACAGCCACCACTGCTGCCACCACCACTACTGCGCCCATTGTGCTCGCCTCCCTCACAGCACTCTTGCTTTCCCTTGTCCCCAGCTTTCCCCCATCCCCTGCCCTTCCCCTCCTGCTCCGCCTCACCTCTCCCCTCCCCTTCCCCTTCCCCGTCCGCCCTGACCGCTGCCCCACCATCATGAAAAATGCCAAGCACGCATTTCCTATGCACGTCTTGTTATGCCCACAGTGGTCTCTTGCCCCAACCAGCCCTGCACCTGCCTCTGTCCAACTGCAAGGCACGAGCCACTTGACCAGTGACCAACTGGAGGTCGTGAAATAAACTCAGGTCTAAATCAGCCTGTTGTGATACCTGACTCTCTGGAAACGATGGATGAAGAGGGAATGCAAGACAAGAGGGATAATCATGGTGAAAAGAACGAATTAGCTTGCAATGATTTTGGTGTGAAACAATGTATGCTATGCGAGACAATGGGTTCATTGTGAAATACTTTACGCAGCGCTCACCGCCCATGCAGGCTTCGTGTGGCCTTCACTCTGACTGATTCTCAGCTGAACATTTGACTTGTATTCAGCCAATTCCCCCTTCATAGCAGCCAGCTCCCCCTTCACTTCAAACAGCTCCCTCTCCCTCTCCTCCACCTGCCCTCTTATCTCTCTCATTTCCACAGCTCGCCTCTTCTCAGCCTCCTCTAATCCCCCATTGGTTGCTGCGAACTCCCTCCTTGTCTCTTCCAGCTGCAAGCCCAACGCCCTCATCCTCATCTCCATCTCCTCACCCAACTCGCGTGTTCCGACCATACTTGCCATGATAGTTCCTACAGCCTCTCCCACTCTCTGCATCCTGAAAGATGCATGCCTCCTACGCATCGCAGAAAAACGGGTGCGCATCGCAGTACACAAGAGCACAAGGCAGCACAGGAGATCACATGACAGCAAAAAATAGCACATTGCAGCAAACAAAAGCACATGGCAGCAGCAGCGAATGCACATAGCATCACATGAGGGCACATGGCAGAAGCAACGAGAGACCATGGCAGCACACATGAAATTGAAGAACATAAGGACGCAAGATTAGAGAACATGGAGGTGGAGATATGATACGGTAAGGAGGAGGAGCATGCTCACATGGGGCTGTGCAGCAAAGAGAAGATTCCACAAGGCTGTAGGACGAGGAGTGATGAAGGGAAGGGGAAGAGAGGAGGATGAGGGACAAGAGTGATGACACAAAGGAATGGGGGAGAGAGTCCTGATTGATGGGGGTGACGATTGGCAGAGACGCAAAACTGCAGTGTTGGTAAATCGCATGGCATACCTCAAGGCACTTGCTTGCACTCTTCAGCTTCATCAGCCCAGCCGCCAAGCCCTGCTGATGCACCCATGCTCTGTATCGCGTGTGGGTCACGCCCATCCACCACAGCAGTGCTACAAGCGTGGTGATGGCAGAATACAGGACGAAAACCGACGACTGTGTTGTGGGACAACGGGGGAAAAAGAGGGACGCATGAGAAATAATATAAGCGGGGATGAGTCACCACTCATCAGAACAGTATAATATAATAATACTAACGCAGTTACCGCAGGGTGACAAGAAAAGAAGCCTCATTTATCCATGCACGCACCAGGGCGTGGAGGAAGGGGAATGAAGCTGCTGAAGGGAGGCTGCAAGTGCGTTGGCATGAGTGGAATAACGGTGCGTGGCATTCTGACACATGACAGCGGCGTTGGACTGAGAGGCACACAGCACACGCAGCAAAGGGGGGCATGCACAGCACGTATCCATGGCCTTGATCACTCACGCCCTGTACGATGGAGGCACACCACGTATCCTCTGCAAGTGGCGTGGTGCTGATGGCAGCGATGGCAGTGGAGAGAAGGAGGGCGACCAGCAGCCCTGACAGCAGCATTGCCACTGCAGTCATCCGAGCCATGGCTGATGGGGCGAACCCGATGCAAGGCGTGCGTCTGCAGCAATGGAATAGCGGCAGCAGAGCAAGAAGCATAGTGGGAACAGCACCGGAGGAAGGGGGATAACGACAACAATAAAGATTGATGCAAGGGGCTTGAGATGCAGGTTGAGCTGCAAACCAAACAAAGACAGAGATAGTCAAAACAGGGATTCACATGAAAGCAATTACATTCAGCTCTCAAGTTTTGGCACTTGGATGAACAACGTTGAAGAGACCACGAGGGGAAGAGCTAGGACAAGATGGAGCGAGTAAATTTGACATGGATGTAGATAGATTGGCACAGGCAGGGGCGATACCAGAGAGGTGGAAGCTGTGTGTATGCACTACAAAACAACAACACACACATACAAGAGGTGGAATAGAGAGTGGAGGAGTGACGGACGAAAGCGATGTTGAGTTCAGTGTCGTGCTCACTTGCGGGTCTTAGCGCGGCTCTATCGAACACCGGCGTCGGTCACCTTCCAAAGGGGTTGTAAGGAGAGCACGGCGGACGCGCGGGGAGTCGAGGGAGACGAAGATCATGGGGAAGCCGGACGCTGCATTCGATTATGATTGGCTGGACCTTGAAGATGCTAAAATACTCGTTTAGGATATGAGCAAAGCACTTGCTGAGGGGATGAGAAAACGATCGTCGGCCGAAGAGGCGAGGTGCGAGGGGGCAGGTTCTGGCGGATGACTTGGCGACGTCAGCCAGGAGGTTTCATCATGGTCGAAAAGCCCTCGAGTGCACTGCCGACAGGCGACCTGCGGTGGCGTGCCGGACCAAGGGTGGGAATGCGCGCGCGCAGCCATCATTTCCTTGCAGCGCAACTGATCATCGTGAAGGTTTCTGAACACGATGACTCGGAGCCGGCGTGTTTCACCCTGCTCATGATCGTCGTCATCGAATGGACTATTTATTTCAGCCGACCCGCGACGATTCGCGGACGCTAGCCACAGATCCATCTAGTACCGTATTGGCAAGAGACGAGGGATTGTCACGTCGTTTTGATTTCGTCCGAGTGAGTGCCTTGCCGAAGCACGGTAAATCTGTGTTAGGGGTGTCTCATATCCCTCGGTCAACGATGGTTCTATGCGGTGGCGAATGAATCAGTCCACAGATAAGGGTTTGACACTTCCGGGACTGTTCTTCCTGGTTTTTGTTCGGACTTCTAGTTCCCGGTAACAAGGTGTTACACAGTCGCCATTGCTGTAAGGAATTTCCCCGAATTCCTTATCGGGATTGACTGCTTCGCGTACAGCCCGATTTTCGGAGTTCGCACGTTCGGCCGATTTCAACGCTGCCGAGGCTCCTCGCGTCGCCTTCGGCATTTCCATCGCCAAACTTGCACCCAACCTCGCCTCCCGAGGTTTTCTCCTGGTTAGGCTAGCCCTACATTAGTCTATGCATTCATTGTATTCTCAGTTGATTCAGTCACAGCCTCGTTATTCGTTTACCTGCGCACTCTCTTTTACAACTCATAACACCTGGTATCAGAGCTACTTTCCAAGTTCACCCCGCTTTTCCGAGGGTAGTTTGGTGGCATAGGATGTGGCTGGTTTAGTGACTACACGACGGTTGGCTGCAGGGATTGTTAATTCAATCCTGCCCGACTCCGATAGTTCGTGTTTTCATTTGCCTGAAGGCCACGGAGACCCGATTGCCCACCAGACGTAGCGTTGGGCATATGGATCAGGAAGCGGTCAACATGATGATGGAGCAAGTGGCAGAAATGCAGGAAAGCATGAAGACGTTAATGGCGGAAGTGACGACGCTGCGAGAGGAAAACGCCGAACTACGCCAGACGCGAGGTGAAGCGCGTCAGGAGTCGTCTGTGGACGAAGGCGAGGGCAACAGTCAGGCGATGAGCAATCCATTGAATGCGCTCACACGTGACTTCGAAGAGGAGGACAGGCAGCGAGCGGCAGCATCACCAGTTGCAGTGACAACGATCAAAATCAAGCCCGTCAACCCACCCCCGTTCAATCCTACGGACAAGGCGGTTACGGTAAAAGGGTGGCTGTTCGGGGTCGAAGTCTTTTTTACTGCAGCCGGAGTTAATGACGACACCACGCGTATTAATTACGCAGTTTCGCTTCTTCGAGGTGCAGCGCTTGAGTGGTGGCGCCGAACCTTGGAAACAGGGATGCCGACAGGTGTGACACATGCGGCAGACGGGACCTCAACAGTGACTAATCAAGTGGCAACGTCGATCTTCGGAGTGACCACGATACGCACATGGAAGGAGTGGGGCGCAACCTTACGAGGTCGCTTCGAGCACGTATCCGCCTCGGAGCAAGCTCGCATGAAGCTGCGTGCATGGTCGCAGATGGCTTCTGTCCAAGACTACACGGCGTCATTTATGAGCCTCGCTGACCAAGTCGATGACATGTCGGAAGCTGAACGGCTGGATAAATACATCAGCGGCCTCAAATACGAGATACAGTACGAGGTTCGCAGGGGCCATCCGACGTCATTCCTTGCAGCAGTACAGTTGGCGGAGTCCACAGATGCGCTGATGCAGTACGTGAGAGCAGCTTCCCGGGAGGGAAACCGTTTTCGTGGCCAGACCCATCGGACCACGATCAACGCCGTCCATACACCCGACCGCCCTCCTAAGGGACCGTGTTACCGGTGTGGGAAGACGGGTCACTACATGAAAGACTGCCACGAGAAAACGCCGCTGACGGGGAACGACAGGAAGGAGCAGGGAAATGGGAAGAGTCAGTAATTAGCGGGCCCTTTACTGACTGTGCTCCGTCGCCCGAACCCCACCATCCCCACCGAGTCGTGGCTCCGATTCATGCAATCGATCGCACTCGGCCGAATAACGGGGATTATCACGTGGATCACCCTGTGCTGGTCGCTGGTAAGGTGTTAAAGAATAACTTGAAAATGTTCGTCGATGGAGGGGCCAGTCATAGCCTCTTCAATTTGGCGAGTGCAAAAAAATGCAAGCTGCAACTTGACAGGTGTCTGCCCGAAATCGACGCCCGCCTCGTGGATGGGACGCCTCTGGCGATAACGGAAGAAACACGGACGGTCAGGATCGAATGCGGCGACGATTTCGGCTTCAGCATGAAGTTCCTCGCGACAACATTGGACGGCTGCGACGTACTGCTGGGACGCGATTGGCTGCGATGGCACAACCCCGTCATCGACTGGACAACGGGAACGTGCAGCATCAACAAGCACGAGGGGCTAATTAAGCTCCCTGCATGGACACCCGACTACATCCAAGCTCCGTGCGTCAAAGCCATCACTATAGCTCGCCACTTCAACAGGGGCGCGCAGCTGTTCACCGTTTGTTTACGCGAGTTGGCAGTCGACACCGAAGGAAAAGACATCGAGAAGCTGTGTGCAGCTGTACCACCAGATTTAGCGGAGCTGATTCGGAGGTACCCGGAAATCTTCCCCGACGATCTGCCACCTGGACTGCCACCGGACAGACCTGAGGACCACAAAATCCAGCTGGAACCTGGAGCGCAGCCGACTGTTCGGACACAGTGGCGGTTGACCCAGCCGGAACTCGAGGAGCTGCGAAGTCAAATTGATGCACTGTTGGAGAAGGGATTTATTCGGGCCAGCACATCTCCCTTCGCAGCACCGATTCTGTTCACTCCGAAGAAAGACGGCGGGCTTCGCATGTGTATCGACTATCGCGCGCTGAACAGGGTCACCATCAAGTCTCGCTACCCAATCCCACGCACCGACGACCTCCTCGACCAACTTCGTGGCGCTCGCTATTTCTCGAAGATTGACTTACGTGGCGGTTACCATCAAATTCGAGTCTTCGCCGACGATTGTCACAAGACTGCGTTTCGTACACGCTACGGGAGTTACGAATTTACAGTGATGCCTTTCGGCCTCACGAACGCGCCCTCAACTTTTCAGCTGACCATGAACAGGGTTTTTCGGGATCTTCTAGGCCGGTGCGTCATCGTCTACTTGGACAATATCCTCATTTTTAGCAAGACAAGGGAGCAGCACCTCCGTGACCTGGACGCAGTGTTTAAGCGGCTGCAGGAGAACCGACTCATCACCAAGGGCTCTAAGTGCGAGTCTTTTAAGCAGGAGTTGGAGTTTTTGGGGCACGTCATCTCGCGCGACGGCATTAAAATCGACCCGGCGAAAATCAAGACCATACAGGAGTGGAAGTCCCCGACGAACGTCACGGAGCTCCAGAGTTTCCTCGGATTCGTAAATTGCGTCAGGAGGTTTATCCCGAATATGGTGGGGATAACCGGACCGCTGACCGACCTGCTCCACAAGGACAAGAATTTTGTGTGGGGGGAGGAGGCAGAAGCGGCTTTCCAGGAACTCAAGAATTTTCTCGTTTCCCCTCCTGTGCTGCGCATCGCCGATCCATCGAAGCCGTTCGAAGTTGTAACCGACGCCTCAGATTTTGCCATCGGAGCTGTGCTTCTCCAAGACTTTGGAAACGGGTTGCAGACGATAGCCTACGAATCACGCAAGCTGCAGGCAGCCGAACGCAACTACCCGATCCACGACAAGGAGATGCTCGCCATCATAGATGCATTTAAACTATGGCGATGCTACCTGGTGGGCGCCGACGTCACTGTTCGCACGGACCACAAATCCCTACAGTACATGCGAGCCCAACCCAACCTCAACCCACGACAGATTCGATGGCTCGACTACATGGAGAGCCACTTCACCTACCGCATCACGTACAAAAAAGGGGCTAATAACATCGCCGACGCCCTGACCCGACCGACAATACAATCCGCTGCAGTACTCATCACCCACTCGAACCCGCTACTTACCGGACTATTTACCCACGGCTACACGACAGACCCCTTCTTCACAACGGGAAATCATCAGCAGGCTACGACACAGAAAGGGGACTATTACCTAAAAGTCGAAACCGACCAGATTTGGGTTCCCGCTTACCGACTGCTGCGTGAGCTTCTCATCCAGGAGATCCACGATTCAAACCTCTCCGGACACTTTGGGGTCGATAAGACACAGAAACTACTGCACCGTCACTATTACTGGCCCGATTCCTCTAACGACGTGTAGCGCTATGTGTCCTCATGCAGGGTGTGCCAAGCAATGAAGTCGACACGTCAGCGACCAGCTGGACTGCTGCAACCCCTCGAGCCACCCGAACGACCGTGGCAACAAGTGACGATGGATTTTGTCACGGGGATGCCAGCTAGGCCGACAGGCGACGACGCTGTTCTCGTCGTCGTCGACCGCTTCACGAAAATGGCGCACTTCGCACCATGCCGAACGACAATCACAGCCGAAGAAACAGCGCGAATTTTCACCTCGACGGTCGTGCAACTGCACGGCATCCCTTCGGCGATCATCAGCGACCGCGACCCAAAGTTCACATCCAAGTTCTGGAAGGAGACATGGGCGCAATACGGCACGAAGCTACAGTTCTCATCGGCGTACCACCCACAGACCGACGGTCAAACCGAGCGGACCAACCAGACCATGGAGCAGTTAATCAGGACAAACTGCCTCGACCCCGCCCGCTGGGAAGACTCGCTAGCAATGCTGGAATTCGCTT